GTACATGATAAACTAAGTATTGGTAGGTCAAACATGTAGTCATTGTGTATGTGTATGTGATAAAGTAAGTGTCTGGTTTTTACAGTTTTTGTTGTTGTGTATGCATAGGTGCAAGTCACCCTGCCATCAGCCATGGCCAACAACAAGGAACTGTTGAAGCTCCTGAAGGTGGTAACTGCCCCATTGCATACATGCTATTTTCAAAGCCCATAATGCTTTGAAACTGCAGGACATTCTATCATGTACATGTATGCAATAGAATGTTTGCTAATTTATGTCCTCCTTGCCCCACAGAACATGTGAAGATGAATGCTGCAACAATTTAATATCAAGTGAATGACAAAGAGCAGCTCCAGGCCACCCTCATAGTGAGCAGCCACCTCCTCAGGAGGCCAAGAAGGAAGAGATGAAGGGCACTCTCCACACTGAGATGTGACAAACACAAAAGAATAAAAATTGACTTTTTGTCCAGTTAAATTCCAGCAGCTGTGATTTTTCCTTTTATGGTTCTGTGTGCCAACCGTTCAGGAAAGTACCGAAAAAAAATGTGCGTAGTCATCGCGTACGCGTACGCGATAAAGTAAGTGTACCAAAACATGTACATGATAGAAATTGGTCATTCCAGACCTTGACTTGATGGCCCAGTTACAGCATCATATCTCTCATTATGATGGTATTTTAATCTGCCATTTCTCAAGATGCTCCCAATTTTGTCTTGCTATTCTTAAATTAAAACCATTTTTTGTGTTGTCAAAACTATTTTTATGAGTGTATGGTCACAAGAGCCACAGTGGCACATGAGCAAGCCACAATCCTTTGTTTCCATCTGCAAAGCACAGAGAACTTGTGGTCATTTGAAATGAGAGGTCCAGTCATTTTGAAAAGTGATTTTGTTTGTCAGTTTAACCTCATAAAAATGGTTTTGATAACACAAAAATGCTTTTATTTTAACAAATGGCAGATTAAAATTCCATCATAATGAGAGATATGATACTGTAACTGGGGCAGCAGTCAAAGTCAAATTAGTTTGGTGTGGTGTAATGAGAAAAGATTGGCACAATGTGAGGATTACTGGGGTAGCCAGTGTTCTTTATTTTATTTGCATGGTGGTGATTTGTCATTCACACACTTGAAAACACCCAGTGGAGGAAGTTTTATTTGATGTATTGGGAAGTGAACAAAGGAGTTTATTTTAAAAGTTGGAAAGATTGGAAAGAAAGAGTGTAGGGTTAACCTTCAGAGTGGTAAGGGGAAAGTGACCCAAGGTACATCTCCTGCTCACCATTCCACCCCAGTATGGTGACATCTGGCTCACTTGCAGAATTGTTTCTAGAAACATGATGGATGGCTGGTGGTTCAGCCACAGGCCTGAGCCAGCTGGCGTGCAGCCTCAAGATTGATTGGGAGTCAATGTGGGCTCCCTGGTGAAGGGTGTGAAGCACCTTGACTTGCCCTCATATTAGCACAACCTGCTCCCTGGTGAAGGGTGGTGGGCAATATGGCCTGGGGCTGGAAGGACTTCCTGCACCCAATCTTGTGGGAGGACATGCTGGCCAAGTGGTGCAACTTCGTCTTGCCACACAGCACCCTTCTCTGCCACCATCCACCTTCCCACCCACTTGTAACCAACCAACCAATCACCTCATCATGATTAAATCTCTTGAGGTCATGATTGGGTGGTAAAATCAAGTTGTGGTTCA